TTTCATTCTCGTATTTTTTGAGAATCTCGTATCTTGTGAATCTCGTGTCTCGTATTTTGTGGCACGAGCTCTACCCCTGATAGACAGCCAACTGGACATTTTCCACTGACTCGAAAGCCCGAGAAATCGCGAAAAATGACTTTTGGCTCCAATACTAATAATCTATTCTAGAGCCGAAAATCTTAATCATTTGTAATTATTAATCCAAAGCTTGATTAAATTATTTATATTATGCAGAATATTAAAACTCTTTTTGAGAGTTAATCCGCTTTTTACTTTAAGTTTATTACTTTAATATTTTTATAAACGTCAGCTGTTGAGCTGTTGTTTATATTCTCCTTGCTGGCTTGATCTACTTTATCGACAAGTTATTTACTAAAATATTTTATACCCCAAAAATCTTTGAAGAGGATATTCCCTAATATCTGTCCTCTCAAAGACATTGATCTAGCTTTACTAATTTCAATTTAAAATTTAAACGCCATGAGGAAGCAAAGGGGAATTGATCGAAATCTGGATGTTGTATGTATTTTTAGATAGAACTGGGACCTCGTTATAAGATACCTTTAATATTAGATACACCTGGGATTTTAAGCATTTGGGTGACCATTAGAGATCGAGATTTTTGAAAAGCCTGGGCCTTTTCCTGGGTTCCGGATTTGATTTATTGACCTGGGCCTGATCCTGGGCCTGTAGTCCAGGTAAAACCCAGGCCCAGGAAATAGCCAGGAAGGTCAAAAAATGACTGCGCCTGGACTCTGGGTACATAAAAAACCCAGGCCTTGATCTAGGCCCAGCTCGATCTCTAGTGACCATTGAATAAAGGAAGCTGCTTGGACTTCCATTAATGATACACCTCATTATAAGATTCCACTACTTACAAAAGACTGGTCTAGATTTAAACCATATACCAGATATACACCTCCTATGATATGTTACTTTGAATTTGGATGGCCATTGGATGGGGAGCTTACTAAGTGATAACCTTATATTTAAGACACACATTCTAAGGTCCTACTTTAAGCTCCAAAAAGGTACCTTATAATGAGCTTTGCTGTATTTTTTAAAAATATTTTAAATGTATCATAACATAACATAGGTCCATAGCGGTTTGGTACTCTGGCAGCAACAAAAACCAACAACAACCTCTTTTGGCTCCATCGTTGGGCGTGAACGCATTGCACGTTTATTGTTAACTAAAGGTATCTTTCGTTTAGCACTATGAAGGGAGACGTCTCTCACCCTTTGAAAAAAGGTCTATCAACTCATTAAAAGATAGGTCTCTCACCTCCTGAGAGCAATGACTCTCGCCTCTTGAAAAACGGGTCTCCTACTTAGAAAGATCTCTCAACGTTCTCTCTCTCATCTCTCACAGTCTCTCTCACCGTCTCTCTCTCAGCTCTTACCGTCTTTCTCTCACCTCTCTCATCTCACACCATCTCTCATCTATCTCCTCGTATCTTTCTTTTGAGATAAGAGGACTCTCATCTCAAAAAAGGGGTTGTCTTATAACACTTTAGAGGAGAGGTCCCTTGCCTCTTGAGAGGGTCTTCTACCTCTTGAGCGAAGTGGTCTCTTATTTCATGAGATAAAGTCTCTCACTTTTAGAGAAGAGAGTAAATAATTTTATAAATTCCTCCAAAATATTTCAGACCAACTCAACGTCCAATTACCCGTTAATGACGAGTCTGCAAAAGAATTTGCAGATGCTCAACAGCATCAAGGGATTGGACGTTCACCAGCAGCAAAATTAAGCGTTGTAGATTTAAATAGTGAACAGCAAGTAACGCTTAGAACAGTAAATGTGCCTAAAGGACCTGAGGGACTTGGACTTTCTATTAAAGTTGGAAATTGAAAAAATATATTTTAATATTTTGTGTTGTTTAGGGAGGAAGTGAAGGGACACATCGAGTGCCGATAGTGATTTCTAAGGTAATTTGTTCAGCTTTTTAAAGTGTCCGCATATGTTTGAGGCATAAACAATCCCTTTCCCGGCTCCTATAAATCGAACGGTTAGGTAGTCAGGGTACCTAACAGTCCTGGAAATCCAAGCGCTGTTCCCTTTCCAGGAGCCGATTCAGGGAAACATGGCTATCCACACAATCTGTTTGGTTTCCTTGTTCCCGATGTAAAAATGACAATAATAACTCTAGTTAACTAAGCTAATGGAGAGAATCTCCGAATAACCGATGAGAGACAGTCCCAGAATTCTTACGGTCACAGTTTCAACCTTCGGATATCTAAAGCAAAACCCCTCGGTTCTTCGAATCGGATCGTTTCTTAACACCTATTAACTAAACTAATTGAAAAAGTGTTAGAGTGACCGATGTTTTGGAGGGAAATAATTTCCTTAGTTAGAGAGACCTTTAAATTTTCTCTCGAGGTTTATAAGGAAGAGATTCCAGTAAACTCTAATTAAAAATAATAGGTCCTTCCCGGCCTCTCAGCAGCCAAAACTAATCAAGTATTTGTTGGTGATTTGATTGTTGAGGTTAATGGAATGTCTTTGGAGGGAAAAACGCATGAGGGTTCTTTGGAAATTTTTTAAATTGAAAAAATATTTTCAGAGGTTGTCCAGCTTCTAAAAGATTCTACTGGTCCACACGTTACGTTAACTCTAAAACGTGACAGTTCCGCTTCTCCTCTTTTGCGTAACACTGCAGAAACTTCTCCTGTTTCTGACCATGTTACTGTTTTTAAGGTAGGGATTTGAGAAGAAAGTCTATTAAAGAGAAGTACCTCTATATTACGTACACCTGTGTAACGCTTGTCATCTTCGATAGTAGTGATAACTAGGCTTTGATCTAACAGGGTCCATATACAAATTAAAGACAGGACATTGAGATAAATACGTGACTTGAGATCATCTTAAGACCTTCATGATGGTTTCAAAGGCCCACTCTTCGTGAACCTAGATCCATTGGGAAGGTGAGAGTATGTTCTTAGAGAGCATCCGAGTGTTTCGAATTTAGCCTTTATACAGACAGTGATCTACCACCCTAATTCAATAAAATCGGGAATTCTCGGCGTTTTTTGGGTTGGGAATCTGATAGGATTGGAATCGGCTAGGATCGAAGAAGCTAAATTCCTCGGCGTTCGGAGACAAGGTACAACCTCCTAGAGTGTACGTAATATCATTTTACTCGTTAACACATGATTCTTATTAAGAGCGCTTTAAAAACCCCAATGTTATACCAACAATCTCCAAAACTCGAAGAAAAAACAATAATTATAGAAGAGCCACAAAACAATTTAGTTTTTGAAAGTGAAGATGATGTTGTTGGAAATGGAGGAGAAAAATGGAAAACGATTTGTAAAATACCTTTACCTCTAGCTTTTGTTAGTAGGTATTTATGGGCAACTGATAAGCTTAGGTATGAAGTTAAATGATTCAAAAGCATACTGAGATACTTGGAATGGGATAAATCTGTCGTTGAACGGATTGGAGGGTTGGGGTCTCTCATCCGAATGAAAAATGAGGTCTCTATTCTCTCTTTCATCTCTCTCATTCGAACGGCCCAACCCTTCCTGAACCTAGATTCGTTGAGGAGGTTCATCGGCCGAACGTTCGCTCGTGGGCAAAGTTACGCTGGGAGAACAAGATCAATCGTGGGTCGGGATGGCAGGGTTGTACTCCCTCGTCGGTTGTTCCCTCTCGTACTCCTCAACTCCCTCATGGTTGGGGGTTGGGTTACTCCCGTGGATTAAATTTAATTTAAAAATTGAATTTTTCAAGAAGCAACGCCTTTGAAGTCCGTTCAGTAGATGGCCGTTCTTCAGGCATTATTCATTGTGAAGATCGCAAAGCTCTTGAAGTTGGGACTTTAAAATTATTTAAATTTAAAATTAAATTTTAAAGCAATGGGTTCAACATATTGACTCTCATATAAATGCTTTAAATCGGAAAACTATTAGAATGAGTAATAAATATTTACATGCATCTGATAGGGTAATTTAGACTTAAAATAGTCGTACCTCACTTAGAATACTCCAAATACTAAACACTCCCACATTGAAGACTGCCCTCTTCTCCCCTGTGACATTCTTCCTCCCGTCTCTTATGAAAGTCTTCCCCCTCCCCTTTCTAGTTACTCACTGGTGACTGTCGCCAGTACTCTAATTAGTAAACGTCCCCTCCTCTACTGCTAGGCAATCTCTCTACCCAATATTTGGCAAGAACTCCCCGGGACTGCTTAAGTGCTCCCCGATCCCTCCTACTGACCCGTGCACACTCCTACCCAAGCGATCCCCGGTCCTTCCCACTGTCGGAGGTTATAAGGTTCAATTTTTAGCTCCAAGAGGATATCTTATAGTGAGGTCCGACTGTGTAAAATTCTAAAAAAAATTTTTTTAACTGCCTCTCCCTCAGATCGCCTTTATCGGCTGGCTTGAAGAGCGTAGACGTCCAACAGATACATTCTCCCCAAACAACGCAAATAATAATTATTACAATAATTTTCCTGTATCCACAGACCCCAGACAACAATGGGCACAACGCTTTTTGATTTTTAAAGGAGCTGATGTTTGCCTATTTGAAACGCCCCCTGTGAATTTTTATAATTTAGAAACTCCCAGTATTAGAGCCATTCAAGGGGGAATAAGACCGGATAGCCGTTATGGGCCTAGGGTTCTGAAGGTCGTTGGACGCACTTCCGGAATTTTTTAGTCCTGTTGCCGCCCTTTAGTTCTAGTTAAACCTGGGATCTACTAAACCCTTAAAGATGCCATCTTTAACCAATTCCCGTTCCGACCCAAGTTCTGGTTCCGGCTAAAAAAGTGCGTAGATACGTATTCACTCTAATTGAACGCTAGTTCCTTATATTTCAATCATCATTTTAGAGGGGTCTTTTATTAGAAGGAGAGGGCCATTCTCTTAGAGTCAGAAGGGGCATTCAACTGATAGGGTCACTCCATTCAAAAATATACAGTATACCCTCCTGTGCTTATAACGAGAGTCTCTATTTAAGCTAAACGCAGACGAGCTAGACAAGTGTGTTTGCATGCACAAAATATACGAGACAGCACTTAGAACAGCTATAAAACGCATAGATCGTCGTGAACATGTATTCGCCTTAAGTACAGTACATGGTTTTTAAATTTGAAATTTTCCCAAAAAATTTTGTATAAAGGTCAAGAGCATTATTGTTCATTCCAATCAAGAGAGCAACTACATCGTTTTGAAATAGCTTTTTATGGGTGTTTGTACAAATCAGTGAATACTATGCAGGTGGATTTTGGGTCATATCAGGATATCCGGACATCCCAAGATCCATCCAATATCGGGATATTCCTCTAAAATATCCTCCCTTAATATCGTTAAGGGGGATAATATCGTTAATTAATCACCCCTTTTTTAATAGTGCCCTCTTGGAGGATGATATAAGATTACTACTCAAACTCTTACTTATCCCAAACTTCTAACTAAGAATGTTGCTATATAATAATGCCGCTTATTTCCTTCACTATAAGCTAACTCCGGAGCCCCTACATCCTTTGATTAGAAAAAATGGATTGGAGAAATTAGGGAGACTTCAGTGGATTTTGAGTGATGCCTGGTTTAACGGACTAATGGGATATCCTGATATATCAGGATATCCGGATATCCCTAAAATCCCTCTCGGAATCTTCCTCCACAGAATATCCTTCCTTAATAATATCATTTAACTAATTTCAAATACGAATAAAAATATTAATTTCCAACAGACACGAACATTTGCCTGTAGTTACGATGGACGACCGGCAGGTTTAGTTATCGACACCCGACTCGGATTTTCTCTTTATGACATTTCCTCAAAGAGTTATATATGGCAATATGGCTTTTCTGAGTTGGAATCCTCCTCAGACGATGGAAAAATGAGGGTCCAATTTATTTTTAGAAATGATGCGGTTGCTCAAGCTATTGATGTTAGACAGTTGGATGTTAAAGTAAATTTTTTGAAAAAAAATTTTGTAGGGTATAGGCACTCCTATATGCTTAAAGACACCCCTTGGGGTTGAAAATTCGTATCCTACATATAATCTGGACACAACCAAAAGGGCGTGGACATACCGGCTTAAAAATTTCTGGGTTTTTGTTCTGAATAGAGGGTATTTATTCTCCCCTGACCCAATCTCCGACTAAATTTTTATAAATGCATCTTAATTAGAGGGCAATTAAGGGTATATGGTATTTATCCTGTATTGAATCCCAATTCTTGTGCTTAAGAAAATAACTTAAATGTATCTAGTATAGCCCGAGATTTTTGAAAAGCCTGAACCTATTAATGGGCTCTGGGTTTGATTTATGGACCTGGGCAGGAAAAATCCTAGGCATGTAGTTCAGGAAAAATCCAAGCCCAAAAAACCCAGGAAGGTCAAAAAATGCTTGGGCCTAAACTCTGGGTAGGCAAAACCCAGGTCTTGGTCCAGGCCCAGCTCGATCTCTAATCTAGCGGTACCTTATAAATGTGTCGACTATTATAAAATTTAAAATTTAATTTTCAAAGGATATAGAATGTGATGAACCTTTAGCTTTAGTCTTCACATTACACTCATTTTATATTGCAAAGGTTAATGAATTTTATTTTAAAAAATAAAACAAATTTTAACAGATTATGGGAGCTGATCCAGAATTTTTGCAGGATTTGCCTCTCTCATGAGACAAAAAATTTTCTAAAAATATTTTCAACAATTTTTCGGACTGGCAGATTGCTGAAAACGATAATTTTAAACGTTTGATATTGTCAAAAAATTTTGGATTTTTGAGAAGCCCCCGACCTACAGCTATCGGAGCACCTTAGTTCAGTCGACCTCAGCTCAGTCTGGACCCTATAACTCATCAAGAAAGTGTCACTTTTTCATGTTCCTGGTATCATTCGATAGAGAATCAAAACCTCTACAAAATACCAAAAAATCAAAATTTTTGACTGATTGATAAAAAAGTTGTGATGCAAAAACCAACACTTTTTCAAAAAAATTTGATTTTTTGGCACTTTATCGATCATAACTTTTTTATCAATGGGTCAAAACTTCTGATTTTTGTTATGTTGTAGAATGTTTAGTGCTCTATCCAATGGTACCAAGAATATTAAAAAGTGGCCTTCCCTTCTTGAGATATGGGTGTTGGATTCTGCTGAAATCGTTAGTCAGTGAGGGTATACCAAAATCCCCCATACTTTTCTAACCATAACTTTTTTATCAATCACTTGAAAATTCTGATATTTTAACAACTTGTAGGGTATTTAATTCTCTATCCAATGGTACCAAGATCATTAGAAAATATCAGCACCTTTAAGAGTTATAGGGCGCGCGGCTGAACTGCCCCCAAACTGAAAGGAGGTATACCCTTCAACTTTTTTAAATAAAATAAATTAATTTAATTTTAAAAAATATTTAAAAAAATAATTTTCTCGTCTTAAAAAATTACAAAAAAATTTTTTTGATGCTAATAGCTTTAGAATCGAGACGTTTTGAAAAAATCGCTGCACGCGCAGGTGCAGGCGCCCATCTTTATTTACTATTTAATCGACGGCTTGGAACAAAAAAAAAATGCGCATAGATTAATAAAAAATAAAAAAAAATTTATTTATTTACGCTAATTTACTCTATAAATATCCCTCTAAAGCTAATTTAACTACTTTTTTATGAGATAAAAAAATATATTTTATGCATGGGGAAATAATTAGGGGAAATATAATTAAAGAGAGAAATTATGCTTCAATCCTTTTATTGCTTAATAAAGTTGGAAGCAAATATTTATTTATTTATTGCTTTTTAATTAAATTGTGATTTTTAGTGTACTAAAAAGTTTTATTTTGTAATTTCTGGTTATTCTGATTTTTATTGTCAATTAATTGTTTTAAGTTGTAATTATATTCTGATTTGTTAAAAATATTGAAAATTCTGATTTTTTAAAATTGAAAAATAATTCTGATTTTTTAAAACTTGAAATAATTCTGGTTTATAAAATTTCTGATTTATAAAATTCTGATTTATAAAATTCTGATTTATAAAATTCTGATTTAAATTCTGATTTCTGGTTTTTAAAATTCTGATTTAGCTTATGTAAAAATAAGCTATGTATATAACAAGTTAGGTTTGTAAAAATCTGAAAATAATTTGATTATAAGATTCTGATTTGTAAAATTTCTGTTTTATTTTTAATTCTGATTTTAAAAACTTGAAACTAATTCTGTTTATGAGCTTAGAATTCTAATTTTTTAAAACTTGAAATAATTCTGGTTTATAAAAGCTAATAAGTTCTGAGTTGTAAAAATTGAAAGTACATAATTTGATTTAAAAATTCTGATTTGTAGAAATTCTGTGTTGCTTTAAATTCTGATTTTTTAGAACTTGAAATAATTCTGTTTTGTAAAATTTCTGATTTTAAATCTGTTTAGTAAAAATTCTGATTTGTAAACCTTAATAAATTCTGATTTATACATAATTTTGATTTTTCTAGTTTATAATTACTATTTCTAACTCTGAAAATGTTTCTGGTTTTTAAAAATTCTATTTTTTATTCTGATTTTAAATTTCTGATTTGTGAAATTGCAAAAAATATTCTGATTTGTAAAATTAATAAAAAGACATAATTAATTCTGATTTACATTCATGACTGGGATTTAATATTAAATATACTCTGTGGGATATCTTTACTCACACAGCTTTTCATTTTCCTTTACCTTAAGTAGATTTAATACCGGATTTTCAGAATTTATTTTATACGCTTAAAAAATAATTTTTTTCAATTAAAAATAGTTTAAAAATACACCAATTTAATTCCCCAAAAATAAATAAAATTTCATATCAACTCCACTTATTATGGCCATTTTGCGTTGCCTTAAACTTGATTCCTGTACAATTTTACTGATAATTACAAATATCCTTCTCCAGATTACTCCAGGTAATTCTCAACTAAATTAATTATTAATCGGATAATAAGTCAATTATTAATCCCTCTAATCAATATTTATCGGAGACAGTTTATCATTTTTAGTTGACCATTCAAAATAATTTTTCTAATTTTCTATATTATTAATAAAATATTTTTTCTAATTAATTTTAATGAAGTGAGAAATTTTGAAAAAATTTTTCCAAAATTTAATTTTGTAATTTTTTAAATTATTTACAGCCTCAACAGAGACAGCCATCCTTAAAGCTCATTACCCACTAACTTTACCTTCCGCCTCCTTTGTGGACCCGTCCATTCTTCGTCGTAAGCGTCTCGAAGCGAACGCGGCGGCTGTTCGGCAGCAGTTGCAACATCAAAGGGATGTACAGGTCGAAAATGTTGGGGGGCTGTTGGGTCCACTGCCTTCAATAAATACAGGAAATGATGCTACTGGAAGGGTAATAGACTCAATACAATGCAGGGCTGTGATGGTCACTTGCGACTTTCGGCGAAGTTTAGCCTTTTTTGGCGTTTTTCTGTCTTTCTTTTACAAGCGAATTTCGCCTTCTCGGTGAGAGACGAAATACGAAAGTTAAATTAAAAATAGGGTTGGGGTTTTCGAGTCATTTGTTGAGTGCCTCATTTTTATCGAGGCCGGTCCGGGTCTTTTTTGGGCTTCATTCTTATTGGACCGGACCGACCGAGCCCCCAATCCTAATTAAAAAGCGAAGGACGAAAGAAACCCACCAATAAATGCGAAAAATTTGGTGAAATGCGAAAGTGAACGGCACATCCCTGTTACAAAGTATACCCCTAAAAATGAATTTAGCAACCACCCAACAATGTTCAAAACGTTTTGGGGGAACAACAAACCCAACAACAAAGTATTGTGGCACCAATTCACTCCTCTATTCCCTCTGCCTTTTCCCAACACCAACAAGCACAAGAAGCTTATCCACCATCTTCAACACCTCCTGCTAACTACCAAGTAGAGCAACAACAATCGACTGAGGTATGACTTTTAATTATTAAAGTTGTACCTCGTCCAAAGATACCGGTTCAGGATTTAGGGCTATAAAAATCGTCCTTTACAATGGGTGTTATTTAAATAGAGATTATCTTTAGGACTGACCCTTCTACCTAATGTATGGCAAATTTTAAAAATAAATATATTGGTTATAGAGAGGAAAAACGTTGCTTATAATGAGCTGTATGTTAAATGGGAGGTATCTCTTGGGCAACCCCCAATGTTAAAGTTTCTACTTTAAATGAACTAGAGATTGAGTTAGTTAGATCACATGGAGGTAGAGTTTAGCAGCCCCCCTCGTCTTGTAGCCTACTATCTTGAATCGAGGGATAGAAGTGTACATTACATGGCGATATCGCTTAGGCAGTCTCCCTCACCCAGTAGCCTACTATCTTAAGTTGATGTATAGAGGGGTATTTTTTTCTTATAGAGAGGACTTTTTATTTTTGTTCCTAGATTTATGCCCGACTTGGACAACAACAGCAGCATGCTACACTTTCTGCTACAGAGGAGGATTATCAGAGTATAGCTACACCTGTAGCGCCTTTATCACCAGACAATGCTGCTACACCTTCCGGATATGAAAATAACGAAACTCCTCCTCCTCCACAATTATCTGTGGGTTTAAAATTTATTTTTTGAATGTTCAAAGCAATGACAGAATTTTGCACACCGCACAAAACGCATTAAACGCACAGCACCACAGCCAAGGCAATCACAAGCACTGCTTCGCTGCCTGCGCGAAGCTGCTATCGTTGACTCACTGGCACAACGTACAAAAGGACCTGTGCCTCCAGTAAGGGTAAAAGCACGTTCACCTTCACATCGTGTTAATGTGGATATTGCACCAAGGAGGATAGATAATAATGGTTTTTAATTTTAAAATTAACGCACTATAGTCACACAATTAATTCACATTTGAGTACAGTCGGACCTCACTATAAGATAACCTCAATACTAGACGGTCACCTCACTAGTGGCATTCCTCTTCCCCCTCTCCAATACTAGGGGAGGCATTCCCTCTCCAATCCACTCTCCAATACAAGGGCATTCCCCTTTCCCCTCTCCAATACTAGGGAGGCATTCACTCTCCAATCCCCTCTCTAATAGAAGGCATTCCCCTTCCTCCTCTCCAATACTAGGGGAGGCATTCCCTTTCCAATCCCCTCTCTAATACTAGGGCTTTCCCCTTCCCCTCTCCAATAGAGCTGCCTAAGTGATACCCTCTATCTAAGATACCTCGTTATAAGTCAAATTTTTTAGCCCCATTGTTGTAGCTTATAGTGAGGTTCGACTGTATTACTATACTAAAAATAAAATTTAAAAAGCACTTAATTAGAAAAAAATCATCAAAGCCGTGTCCACGGCCATCGGATCCAACAAGCAGATCATGAATATTCCTCTGCCCCACTCCATCAACCTTCTATACATCCAACTCAGCAATTTCATGGAGGAGGTCCACCTCATCTAAGGCCAGGAGGTCATTCCCAATTTTTCGTGCCCGCTTCCACTCAAGGAGGGGCTGATTATGTCCACCATCAGCAGCAACAACAACAGCAATATGTACAAGTCCCACATGCCGCAACAAAAGTTTTTGGAGGTGAAGGAGAACATGGGGGTGGCGCTGGAGGTGGAGAAGCGCCTCAGGGTGTTGGAGTACTCAGTGGATCGACGAGGGGTTCAAATTTGCCAACAATGATTAGCCTAGGACAGAAAGGGGTATCTTGCACTTTTATTTT